GCTGAACCTTGGAAGTGGTCGGTATGTCTATCACGAGAAGAATGGAGGAAGGCCATGTGGTATCTATACACAATGAAGTACCACTTGGCTATGAAGAAGGCTAAACTGGAGACATTTGTGAGAAAATGGATATACTTTGAAAACATAATGTTAAATGACATAAATCAGACACACATACTTCAATGCAGTATGGTTCCTTTTATCCCAATAATCCAGAGTACAAATAAAGAGCAAAATAAAGGACTGATAGAGGGAAACAGAAAGATCTTTCCCAAACAGGAAGAGGACAGAAGATCAAGGGAGGGGGAGGGGAGAGGGGAAGGAGAGAGCGATATAGAAATATTTAAGAAGCATCACATACATGTACTAAGTACTCACAATGAATGTAATCATTATATGTCTCAAACATGAACTAAAAAAACTAATAACCATAATAATGAAATGGGGAAGAGCTAGACATGAACAGAGCAGAGAGAGGGGGGTGGGCAGTGGAAGGGGAGGCAAAGAATCCAGGTTTGCTAGACCCGTGTACTACAAACACGCACGTGTTAAAAAAATTGAAAAGATAGAAAACTAGCTCTAATTTCTTATATAGATACATAGTTTTTCATGCTGAAACAGGACTTTTTGCATGAAGCTAAGAGGCCACAGATAATATTAAGTACATGGGTCCTGCATTACTTTGAAGGCTGTTCAGAGGAGTGAAGATACAATAAGACTTGGTTTCAAAATGACAGGGAAAACATGGATGGTTTAATAGTTTTGGCGCAAGCAGATAACAAGTAGGGGTGGAGGAAGAAGAGTCCAATTCTAATTTCACTCTTTGCATAAAAATAAACTGCAGGTGGAAAATGAATTGGAACATTACAGGAAAAAGGAAACTTAAGAATATACAAAATCATTTAAGAAAAAATGTAGCGTTGAGTGCTTCACGAACCCTGAACTCTTTTTTTTTTTGTTTGTTTGCTTTTTGTTTTTGGTACTGGGGATCGAACTCAGGACCTTGTGCTTGCCAGTCAGGTGTTTCTGCCACTGAACTATCTCCCTGATCCAAACCCTGAAGTCATATGTGAAGAAAAGAGAAATAAGACTGTGTTAAAAAAAAAAAAGGTTTGAAAAGTCCTTCAGAGAAGAAAAATTATAAAAAGCGGGAAGAAATGATGAGAAGTTCAGGGAAACATTTGCAACATACATGACAAACAAAGCTGGGATGGCCGCTGATGCAGAACTCTTGACGATCTTAGGGAAGGCCTCCAGTTCACAGAATAGCAGGCACGAAGTGGGCCTAGGCCACTCATGGAAAGTCACAACACTGGAAGCGGCACCTGCCCTTCCCCACAGCAGCCCAAGTTCGCAGGAGGGGTATCAGGTCACTCGCCTGACCTCACAAGCAAAACGGTAATAATGCAGTGTGAGCGAGTGTGCAGAAGTCACTGGCATCCACACTTGATGGAATGTCACCTCATCTAGTTTTTTGGAGGGTCTACCTTTTGGTATTGTCCATCAAAACTAAAGTGGCTTGTGTCCTTGAACCGGTAATTCCACTTCTAGGAATGAACCCCACTGGTCCATTTGTGCCCAATGACAAGAGCAGTATGTTGCCCTGGGGCTGCGCGAGCTGCAGTACCTAGAAATGAGCAGCAGGGGGCTCACCACAGGAACTAGCCTCTGCTTAGGTGGGAGTGTGACTCTGTAAAGAGCATTCAGGCACACCTGCTCCACGTCCATGGCACTGTCACTAACATCTAGCACACAGGTTTTTTTCAAAGTGCACGAAATAAATATGCATAGCATAGTACCATCTGCACGGGAGACGTGAGGGGGTATGTGTTTGACCAGCATCATTCTGACACTGCAAAGAGCAGTGGCGCTTAAAGAAACAAAGAGGGGAATCACTTTTTGTACTGCTTCAATTTTTGCTAAGACCACACAAGACATTTTTGCCATGTGTATAACAGCAGGGTTGTGGCAGGGAAGGAAAGGGCCAGGAAGGCCTGAGAAGCTGTTTGGGCTTATCAGCTACCAAAGTGACATCTGCAGGATAAAAAGAATAGGCCAGACACAGAGGCCACCTACTGCAGGCTCAAACCATGTGACAAGTTCCCCAAACACAGTTTCATAGTGCCAGAAGGGAGGTGAGTGGTAGCCAGGCACTGGGGTCAGGGGTCATGGGGAGTGACTTCTAGTGGGAACAGGGATTCCGCTTGGTGCACTGGCAACGTGCCAGTGGCACAAGTCTGTGAAGACACTGCAGACCCATGGATTGTACACTTCAAGCTGGTAAAGTGGAGGTACTTGAATTGCAGCTCAGTAAGGCTGTTCTTAGAAACCAGCCACTGCACACACTCCTGGACCCCCCAGCCTACTACTCCACCTCAAGACAGGAGATCTGATCTATTTGCATGCAGATTCCACCATGTGACTGAAGTAAGTTTCTATGTCAACCGCAAGCATTTCCAGTAGAAACGAGCCTGTGAAGTTGTACACATTCTTAAGCGGTGGCCAGCACAGCATTAATTAACCTTGAGGTGCTGGCCAAGGGCATTCCTGTGTCCATCCCACCCTGTAGAGGTTCCTGTCACATGGTGCTGCTTTCCACCCCATTGCTGCTCAAACAGGAACTCTTTGCAAGCTAACTGCTACCATCTCGTATGTATCTGTGTCTCCTTCCTGTCCACGGCCACTTCCTGCAGCTGGCAGAGGTCCATTGCCAGCTGTGTGGCTCACGTCTTCCTCTTCTTCTATGCTGAGACCTTAAGCAGCCGTTGGAGGGCAGCTGAGATCAGAAGGAACCAGGCTCTTCTGAGAATCGGGGCCCACACTGCACTGCAGGGTGTTAGGACAGTCTGCTTCTGGGCCACTCCTGAGCTGATAGGTGTCACTGCATGCCCCTAGCTTGGCTGCAGGTGGATGAGGGTTTCAAACCCAAAGCGGGCTTTTTTACAGTGCTAGGGACAGGACTCAGGGCTCCCTGCATGCCAGGCAAGTGTGTGCTCTTCTGCTGAGCTGCAGCCCTGAGCCCTGTGACTTGCTGCATGTTCTTAACACACACTAAGCAGCCTGTGCTTTCATACTAGACTGGGGGGCAGAGGTCTCTCCCATCACCCCCTTCCTTGCTGTGGCCCCTAGCTGGACAATACAGCTCCAAGCCACATTTTTCTTTGCAGATTCCACTTTTTTTTTCTTCCCAGACTGCAGCTGCAAAGGTTCCTGAGTCAGCAGTCTGAACTCGCAGTGAACACTATGTATCAGATCAGCTTTCTTTTATTCTTCTCAGCCTTGATTCTGAACACCCTGTGCCCAAATGGCTCACTAACTCCTTGAGCCCTCCGCAAAGCTGATTAGACTCGCTACTCAGGACCACTTTCTCATGCCATTCCACGCACATCCCCACAGGGCTATTTTCTCTCTCTCTCTCTCTCTCTCTCTCTCTCTCTCTCTCTCTCTCTCTCTCTCTCTCCTCATCATGGAGATTGAACCTAGGGCCTTCACACTGAGCTTCATCCCCAGCCCCTTTTAGTTATTGTTTTACTTTGACATAGCTTGTTAAATTGCCCAGGCAGAACTCAAGCTTGCAATCTTCCTGCCTCAGTCTCCCAAAGTGCTGGAACTACAGGCTTGTACCCACCACATCGGGCTGCTTTCCCATCTCTTTTCTCTTAGTTTTCTTTGAAACTTGCTCTTTGGACAGTCTAGGAATTGTTTTAGCACCTCAAGGTGTCCTGAGGTCAGCACACCTCGGGGCTGGGAGAATTGTGTCCTCTGGAATTGTTGTCTTGGGATCATCAGACACTGGATCACATAAGCAGGGAAAGGTTACTGAGCAGCTGGATAGTGGAAGTATGTCTCTGCAAGTGGCTCTGTGACTGGGGGGATGCCATCAATTCTCAGGCAAGGGCTTCCTATGCCCATCCCTGTATATATTCCACTGTACATCTGACCATGGTCCAGGCTTAGGATCTGATTTCTCATGGATTGCCAATTTCTCCTCTGTTCAAAGGCCTGGCCCACTCACTAGACATCAGGCTTTTATCTCTTCTTTATGGATGCTCTTGCGGAAGTGTCCAAAGCCACCAGTCTCCTCTTAGATACAGTACCCCATATCTAGGCCACCAGAACACAGCATCCAGTCCTTAGTTTCTTGCCCTTGGATAATTTCTGTTTCTCAAAGTTCTATATATGGAATTTTCTTTTTCAAAATTTCACTCCTTTTGGGTGATCATTTCCAAGTGTTTGCAGTGGGAAGAACTAGCTCAACTATGTTAGTTAAAAGCCTTCTTTTCCAGTTAAGCTTATTTCTTTTAGCCAGGTGTGGCAGTGCATGTCTATGAATCCCGGCACTCAAGAAGTTAATGCAAGAAGATCTCTGTGAGTTTGAGGCCAGTCTGGGCTACATATGAATTCTAGGTGAGCCTGAACTCATAGGTTTTACATAGCCAAACCCTGTCTCAAACAAAACAAAGCAAAAAAACCCCAAACATCAATAAAGTTCATCACTTTTTTTTTTTTTTGGCAGAACCAGGGATAGAACTCAGGCCCTTGTGCTTGCCAGGGAAGCACTTATTCCACTGAGCCATCTCCCCGGCTCCGAGTTCATCACTTTTATAATTCAAAAATAACTTTAAATTTTTTTTGCTGAAAACAAATATGTACAGACTGTGTGTGTATTTACTCTCACGAATGATGAAATGTTGATGAAGATGATGGGTATCTGCTCTGGCAGTGAAGCCTGTGTGTGGTCTACTTACTTGCCCATTTGCAGAATAAAATGTTAAATAATTTGAAACATGCTTCTCAGGGCAGGGGATGTGGCTCAGGGGAAGAGTGCTTGCTTGCCTAGCATGTGTGAAGCCCTGGCTCGCATCCCTAGCACTGAGAATGACAATAATACCAGTCATCATCATCATCATTATCCTGCTTTCTTATCTAATGCATGGAGAAATGTAGCCAGGAAAAAGTAGCTGACACTGCAATATTTCCACCCGCAGCCTGCATGGTACCTTTTGGCTCCGCCCGCATCCGGTGAAACGATGATACAGTTCTTCCACTCGCTGATGTTCTCCCGAATCCACTGTAGGACCGCAGGCTCTGCATACAAGTTATCCACCGGAATATCAAAGAATCCCTACGAAAGCAAGTAAGTGTCATGTTGCAGAATCTGTTTCCTTGAAAGCATAGTTGTTTTCATTAAATAACATTACAATTTTGTATTCAAAAGAAACATTCCAATGGGCCTTGCTTTGTTAATTTTAAGAAAATCAAAAGGCAGATATTTCAGGTCAGCCATCTTCAGACTGTATTCTACTGCTTGGATGGCCTTTTGCAATGAGGCAAAAGGGCTGGGCTTTTATTTATTTAATTTTAGGTTTTTGAGACAGGGTCTCACTATGTAGTTCAAGCTTGCCTGAACTCACTATGTAGCCCAGGCTTGCTTGCAACTCATAGAGATCCTCTTGTTTTAGCCTCCCTCATCTACGATTATAGGCATGCTGCAAGCCTAGCTGTACTTGGCAGTGCTATTGTTTTTTAGTTCCCAAACCAAATGTTTTACATTCATTATATGTCATAAAGCAAGTACTCTATAATTGGGCCTGTATTAGAGGTGAAGGAACTAAGTTACAAAGAAGCTAACAAGTGTAAGCTACAACTCTGCCATTCTGATGCTTTTCCAGGAGTTGAAATGGAATTACAGCACATATACTTCCAAGAAGTCATTTTTCAGTCCTGTAAAACTGGTAAGAGGCAAGCAGTGACAGAGATAGAATATATGGACATTGACTTACTATTCCAAAGACACTCCAAGAGAGGAGCCATACACTAACTAAAAATCAAGGAATGCTACCTCCTTCTGAAATGATTTACAACAGTAGCTCAGTTCATGAACACTTCTTTCTGCGAATAATTCCATTTGCAAACAAAAGTAGTAGGCAAAATTTTGCTTCTGTTCTCAAACTCTGTGTCTGGTGATCAACAATACCACACCACCTTCCTTGCATGAACATGACTGCAGCCTTCTTCCTCAGAATCATGAAACAAATTATGTTTGCAAACCGAGGCACTGAGGTTCGACATAACCACTGGCAGAAAGCAAATGCTGGTACCTGTATCTGAGAGGCATGCAAGTCCATGGTGATGATGTGATCAGCCCCGGCCACTGACAGCATATTGGCCACGAGTTTTGCAGAAATTGGAGCACGGCTCTGAAAAAAAACAAAGATATGGATTTGACAGCAGGAAAAGATGGATGGTGTCAGATTGCTCGTGGTAAGCAATACGTGAGAAAGCTAATCCACAGATGGCTGCAACAAAGTGTAATAAGGAAGATGACAGCAGAAGATATATTCATTCTATTTTGTTCACCAAATACTGCTTCCATATACTACTGTGAAGCAGTATGTTTGATGCTGGGTAGACAGAACAAATGTCAAAGAAGCATACAGTTAAACAGACACTGCGGCATGTGGAATGTCACAATTTGCATAACTCAGGCTGGGACAAATGGCTCAAGGGTAAAATAAAAGGTATAGAAAAGAGAGATAACAGCCAGAAGGACACAGAGTTTAAATAGGATGCTTGTTACAGGTTCCATTGAGGTCACTTTCAAGGTAAGGCAGCAAAGGCCAGAGAAAAACATTTTAGAGGGACAGCTGTATATGGAACGTGGCCAAAGCCAGGAGCCCCTCAAGCAGCCAGCCATCCCTGGAAGAGATGCTCTCCTTACAGCTGGAAGCTGCCCTGGATATAGCTGAAACCAAGACCAGGTAGAAGAAAGAATACTTTATGGTGATGGATAGTTTAATGTTTAGACAAAGAGGTGCACTGTCATTTACTGATATTATGTTTGTTTTAATGTTTCCTAACTTCTTTGAAGCTTTAATTTCCACATTATAAATTATGGACAATAACATTTTACATCAAAAAAAACCCCACAGAACTCTACTGAGATTATTAGGCTGTACAGATAGGATCAAGGAAGAATTCAGCAACTGTGTATGAAGAACATCATTCCTATTCACCAGTACCCACAAAGAAGACATGTCTTAAGGAAAGATGGCATTCAGCATAATGACACATAAATGATCCCACTAAACACACACAGACACACACACACACACACACACACAGTATATCACAAACACAGTATACTCATGTAGCAACACACATAGCAAAGAATTATATCAAAATGTTAACAGATTATTATTATTTTTTTAGCAGAACCGGGGATCGAACTCAGGCCCTTGCATTTGCCAGGGACGTGCTTATTCCACTGAGCCATCTCCCCAGCCCAAACACATCATTTCTTACAAAATACAATAAAATATAAAATATGAAAATATATGAGAAAAACACCCCAAAATGTTAACAACAAATGCTTCCAGAAAACAAAGACTGTGGGCCGTTATTTTTCTTCTCCTTTCATCTTTTTTAAAAAAGCCTTCTCCATCTTCTTTTTGAAGTATATATCTTAACTCATGTTTTCACTGTTTAACTCCCTCCATACTATGTATTCAAGTTGCCTTTGGAATAAATTCATTTTCTTAGCTTTCAAACTAAACCTTCTGTCTAATGTGACTGCTGTCTACTGAGAACTGTCCCTGTCCCACATCCCTACTACTGGGCCACACTGCAGTGAGTCCTGGCTCTTCCCGTCCTCCTCCAGAAAGCCCAGTAGCCTCACCTGTATACCCAACATGCTATCGGTCCCCATCCTAGCCATCTCTGCTGGGCCAGTGTGTTCAATCCTCCAGGTCTGGCTCCAATCTCCCAAATGTAAGGCAACAGTCCTCTAGACATAATCCCTTCCTTCTAAAGTGACAAGCATCCTAAAGCATTTGGTCTCAACTACTCTGGGTCCTATTTTGTGTTGAAGATAGAGACATCATTCTTGAGGGCAAACAATTGTTTTTAGACATCTTCGTATTCCTTGACAAACATAGCTCATCCACTGCACATGATAGCTTTCCAATAAATATTTCATAGCAGAACCTCTATAATATCAAATTCCCAAGGCTTAGTCATTAACCTCACTGATACTAAGCATTCTATCATCTAAGAAATAATTCCAGGACAATCGAAAGAACAAACTGGTTATGGTGACTTCTTTGTAATAAAATTTGATTCACAATGTAAATCAATTTTGTGCCCTTCCTAGAATTTTGTAAGTGACTGTTGTGTTTGAATGTGTCTTTTCCAAAATTTTAGAGTTGGCAATGGGATTGCACTGAGCAGTGTGGTCTTGCAGAGGGGCCTGGGCTGCCAGCACTCCTCCCTGGTGTAAGAGAGGGAGGCCCTGGTGAAAGAGGCCATGGATTGCACTCTGAGTGCCTGTCCTTGCGCCTTCTCCCATGGAGGGCCACAGCATTCCTCCTTAGACAGCACATATGGGTGCAGACCTCCAGATTCCACAGTGCTGAGGAAAAAACTCTGTTCTTCACAGATTACCCAGCTTCAGATATTCCATAATAGCAGCACAGATGACACCAATGAAAAGACCCCTTCTTTCCTCAGTGGCATCCAACATTTCTTACGTCTGGGATCCAAACCACAGAGGCAATTTCTGAGTGCAGACATCTGATTTCCTTTTTTTTTTTTTTAAATTTTGTTTACATATTTGCTTTTGGTACCAGGTTTCAGAGTTTGGCTTCACACCCGGCTGAATCCTACAGGAAGAGTAACTTACAAGTCAACCCACAGTATAGCCTAGACAAAACTTAGTACAGCCTTGAAACAAAGGTACAGTCATGGTGGGACTTATCTAGTGAAAAATATAGGAAGGTCAAAGTCTTGCAAGTCAGTCCAGTAATGACAAAGCCTCTGTCATAATATCTTTGACAATATTCCAGATCATATTCAATGTATCAAAAGCCACCCCAGATGCAAAAGTAACTTTGTTTTTGCAAAAGACAAGATTGCAGAAGTTCACAGCAGCTAAAAAGTAAAAGGAAACAATATTTTACCATCTAAATGAGAATACGACCTTCAAAATGATTTTGGAAGACAGAAAACAAACAGAAACACCAAGGTGAAGACCTTCACCCCCTCCCACCCCCAGAAGTAATTATTCCCTGTGTTGCTCTCAACCTGCTGTTTTCACCAGGCAAGGGAACTAGCAATTATTGAATGTCTACTATGGCAAGAGCCAGCAAACTATAGCCCATGGCCAAACCTGCCTGCGGCCTGTTTTTGTCCAACCTGAGATCTCAGGGTAATTCTTACATTTATAAGTGCCTGAAAAGCAATGAAAATAAAAATAGTGTTCTAAGGCAGTGGAAGATTATATAAAATTCACATTTCTGGATGGATCAATAAAGTTTTATTGGCACGCAGTCATATTTGTTTGTTTACAATACTGGTCATGGCTGTTTTCACAGTCAAGTGGCAAGTCTGATGCACAGCCCTCTCTGCACAGGCCTATAGCTCCAAACAACCTTGGAGGTGGCCAGGATACAGTTGACCAACTTGGTGTGAAAAGAGCCCTGAGTGACACTGGGAATCACTGAGTCGGTTACAACAGCCAGTATATTATCCTGGTAGCATTATTCTGGTGCATCTGTGTAGTCAGTATTACTTATAGTAAGGAGATCATCATTCTTTCTTCAAACTTGTTGAAAAGAGCATCCTTAGTTATCCATCGTCTCATGTATGTTTCTGTGTTCTTTTTAAGTTTCTGATGTTTTTCTACTTCTTTCTCCCCTTGGCTCAAGTAGCTTAGCTTTCAGCTAGAAAACTACTCAGGTGATTGCAACAGGGATTCAGGAAGCGCTTGAGAGAAACTTCCTTGCCTGGAATCATGTGCAGGACTGTAGTCCCAGCACTCAGAGGCTGAGGGAGGAGGACTGCTTTGAGTTTGAGGCCAGCTTAGGCTACACAGTGAGTTCGAGGCCAGTTTGTGCTATATAGCAAGATCCTGTCTCAAAAAATCAAAAAGGGAGAGAAAAATGGCTTGAGCCTGCTGGCACATTTCATTTTCTAACCAACTGTCACCATGTGCCAGGGTGGGCAAATGATTAGAAGACCAGGCAGCATTTGGGCCAGAGAGTTCACTTCTACCTTTCTGCTTCTCGTAGGCAGGCAGGAGGCCATGTGGCATTTGAGCGTCACCGTAAGCCATGGGATACGCTTGTGTTGGCCACAGAAGGAGCTCTGGACTGCCCTCCCAGGCTTTCTGCTGTCTTTCTCCATCCCTTTTGGACTATCCTGCCTATCACTTGCTGGGGAGAGTCTGCATGGACATTTATTACTTAGTAACAAAGCCCCCTTTTGATCTTCGCAGTGTGGTGGCTTAGGTGATAAAAGATAGGACAATAATGTTATCTCAAAGCTTCAGTTGTCCATAAAATCTTTTTTTTTTTTTTTTTGCAATACCAGGGATTGAATGCAGGGCCTTTGCATTGAGCTGTATTCCAGACCCCTTTTATTTTAATTTTGAGATTGGGCATCACTAAGTTGCTGAATTGTCAAGGCTGGGCTTGAATTTTCAAGGCTTCTGCCTCAGTCTTCCAGTTTTAATGCACTCAGTCTGCAGTTATTTGTTGTGGGAATGTTATGAAATGAATCCATTCTATCTGTGTTCCCCGCCAACAAGCCACAGGGATTACTAAGTGCTACTGTTTCTCTAATGTTTTGCTAGTCAGACAATACAGTTCTATAAAAGAGTTGAACCCATTAGGGTTTCCAGAAGTCTGTAGGTGCCTCTTGGTAGCACAGTGGCTTGGGGGCAGAGCTGGCAATCAGGGACAGAGATTAAGGACCATCAAAGTTCCTGAAATGTAAGAGGCAGGGGACAGATTGTGCTAGTTTCTCTATTACAAAGACTTTATTGTGAATAAAAATAAGAAACAAAATTTGAAAACACGACTCGGATAAAGAGGTTAGTGCGAATCAGATATGAACCAACAGAAAATGCAGATACCTCAATATCTGTATCCGCTATTTGCATCAAAGGAACTGGGAGTGAGAAATCACTCAAGGGTGGGACCAGGGCTTGACAAAGGGAATGATTTACCTGAGAAGATACAGTATGTTTAGTAGCTCAAAGCCAAATACAAAGTGCAAAACCTACTGGAAATTGAAGAACCGGATAAGAAGTAATCACAGTGTGGGAATTTACTAAGCTTCTTGCCACACAGAAGGAAAATCAGCAGAAAATGAGCTCCTGTATGGCTGGACATGATGAAGTTCCTAAGCAGTCCTGTGGAAAGACCCAGCTGGGAGGAAGGGCTAAGGCAGATGACACTGATGGGACACAATTGAAACACTAGCATTTAGCAGCTAAAATCAATGGAGGAAACCCTAGCATCTAGTTTAAAAATACAAGAAGCTATATAATTTAACAAGGATAGGGACAAGGTTTCATTGCAACATCTGTGAGTAAAAGTCTGGGCTGCCCACAAGCTCAAGTTTAAGTCACAAGGTGACAAACACAAATACACACTAAGGTCCATGTGCAGGAAGCTTGATCCCAGCATGCAGACAGTAGAATTGGGCTGAGTTGAAGACAAGGAAATCATTCGCCCCATGTTCAGAAGTGCCAGTGGCTGGTCTAAGAGTGGCTGAGTCCTGCAAGAGGGGGCTAGTATGCAAAGAACAAGCCCAGCCCATTATACTCTTGTGTTCCTTCCTCAGATACATGTCCCTTCTGTATGTGGTTCATTTCCTTTCCTCTTGTCCTCTATGTTGTGACAGAGCCAGAGGGAACATGTGCCAGGATGCCTGAGCTACCCTCTCTGTATTGTGTAGCCACCAGTGTGGTGAGTGGCCAACACAAACTTCTTTATTTTATAAGTTACCCAGCCTCAAAGATTTTGTGACCATAACACAAACCTGCCTATAAAGCCCATCCACACTCTAGTGCAGGAGCTGGCCAACTGTGATGCACTGGTCAAATCTGGACAAGTGCTTGTTTTGGTCAGGCTTGTGAACTAATACTGGTCCTTACATGCTTAAATGGTTAAAAAAATCAAAAGAATAATACCTTGTGGCATGTAAAAATATACCCATGCAGTGGTGTTCATAAGTAAATGCTATTGAAACAGATAGATATAGATATAGATATAGATATATTCTGTTACTACTTTGGAGGGATGAAGTTGAGAACTTGCAACGAAGGTCATAGTCACTTTTTTTTTTTTAGAAAACATAAACTAAGCCTCCTACTCTAATCAGTACAAGGTACCCCAAGTGCCACCTCGTGTTCTGGAAATCTGATTTTTAGTGAAAAATTAACTGAATAGCGATATTCAGCACAGAGACTGGAAGCCACATCTGAAGAGGTTGAGATTAAAATTCAAGAAGACTTTGGTAGATGAACTGAAATTTTGATTGTTTTCAGAAATGTGTGGTGTTTTAGAAATGAGACCAAGGGCTCAGCATGATCACTTGCCCACAACTCACAACACGGCCTCATTTCGGAAATCCGGCCTTTGCAGCTATAACCAAGTAAAGATCAAGACGAAATCACTTTAAGCCAAGAGCACTGGTGTACACCTAGATGCTCAGCATTCAAGAGGCGGAGGCACGAAGACTGCCATGAATTAGAAGCTACATAATGAGCTGAAGGCCAGCCTGAGCTATACCGTGCAATCCTTTCAAAAAACCGAAATATAAAAGGTTAGGGTAAGACTGAAATGCAATGAGAAAGTCACTGTAAGAGACAGAAGAGGACATACAGCGACATAGGAAGAGGCCAGCTGAAGACAGCCAGGGACTAGGTTGAAGCTGCCACAAGCCATGGAATTGACGAGTCACCAGTGGCAAGAGCGGATGAAACATCTGCCCCTAGAGCTTCCAGGTGATACAGCCCTGCCCACACCTGGATTTCAGACTTCTGACCTCTGGACCTGTGCAAGATTAAATTCCTGCTCTTTTAAGCTCCCCACTTTATGGGAATTTGTTTTGCCAGCCCTAGCAAACTACTAAGATCTGCTTCAAAAGTCTCCACAGAATTCAACTTCTCTGATGTGCCTTGAAGATTAAAAACAATTATATTTTCTTCAACCTGTACAAACCTATCGAGGCATCTGTAATGCTAATGTTGAAAGGGAGAAATGTAGGTTCACACGCAGTTGTAAGGAACAATGCAGTTCCTAACAGCTTAAGTAACAATGTCACCTAGCGTCTTGGAAGTAAAATTTCACAATCACAACCCTGACATTGCTACAATGAGTGAACTGAACAGGTTGCTCCCCAGTTTGACTATGTACTCACAGAGGGCTGTGTGTGTACTTAGTTCCATCTTCCATCCTGATGAAGCCAATCATGGTAATTTAAAACTGAAAAAGAGGCTTAATTGGTTTTGAGATCTATAAATATGAATGTGGTGGGCTCAAAGATACACCTGAAAATGAGCGGGTGATGCTCGTGCTTATGACAGCCTTAACAGAGAAAGCTAACAAGTGCCAGCTATACTGTGGGTAGTGATATATGCAGAAATGATGCTGGCTTGGAGCAGGGGATGCTCGTGCCTCCCTTACCTTGTCCTTTTTATCCTGGCGGGCGTACGGGAAGCACGGGATCACCGCAGTCACTCTGGAGGACGAGGCGATCTTGCACGCATTGATCATGATGAGCAGTTCCATCAGGTTGTCGTTGATTTCTCCACATCCACTCTGGATGATATAGACATCTTCCCCTCTAACACTTTCTCCAATCTCCACACTGGGGGGAGAAAGTGCCATCAATTGACATGAAAGTACGCCTGCATCTTGGAGGGGTCTCCAAGATCACCCCAGGTTCAATGATTCACCAGGCCAAATCACAACACACCATGAAGTTGCACTTTATGCATATTATAGGGAAGTGACACAGGGAAAATCCGCAAAGAGCAAGAGTGTGTGAGGTGAAGTTGGGGGGAGCCAGGTGTGAGATTCAGAAATCAAGCTTCATGCCTCCAGTAAAGCTGTGATAAGACTCGCCAAATGTTGCTGCTAGGGAAACTGCTTGGAGAATCAAGGCCCAGGGCTAGTACTGGGGCTATCCCCTAGACACCTAGTGCATGCCAAAAGGCCAGGCTTGCTAGCCTTCACAAAATCCACATCTTTCCCTAATTGTTTATTTATTTTTATTTATTTATTTATTTATTTATTTTGGAAGAACCAGGGATTGAATTCAGGCCCTTGCTCTTGCCAGGGAAGTGCTTATTCCACTGAGCCATCTCCCCAGGCCCCTCGTTCCCTAATTGTTAACGATTTAAGTACCATGAACCATTCTTATCAAAGAATGGTGGGAACACAGCCAAGGCCAACTTGGCAAGAAAGCCCTTCTGAGTTTCAGGTGTGCTGTGTTAACTCTTTTCTGCCAAATACTTCATTTTAGTGATTTATTCACCTTATAGCTTTACATGAATGCTGCTTTAAAAATTGAAATCATTCTACGTGGCTCATAATACATAATCAATTGCAACCCTCAATATGGCTTTTAGATATTTACCTTCAAGTCTTAGCTCATGTGTCTCCCTGCATCTTGACTTTTTATCTGGGCATCCTGGCTTGCCTTCTCACTGTGGAAGATGGGGATTTGGTTCTACTTCCTCTCTCTTCTATCACACAGGTGCACCTTTTCCATCTTGCCATTACCCAAACACAGATCAATACATAAAGTGAAAATTGACTCTGTGGGGGGGCACGGGGTATTGGACCCAGGGTCTTTACACTGAGCTACATCTCCAGCCCTTTTCACTGTTCTATTTTTATTTAGAAACCAGACATCCCTTACTGATTCCCTAAGCTGTGGCTTTCTAGCCTCCTCCTGCCTCAGCCTCCCAGAATGCTGGGACTAGGTGTGTGACACCAGGCCCAGCTTTGATTTTGTAACTGTGTAAATGAGATTCAGAGCACAGCCACATAGGAAACTTAAATCAATGTTCTCCTTTCATACACATTTTTGTTTCACCTCTAGGCCATCACCTTAAATTATTCTCTGGTAAATTTTCTGTGTACTAAATTCAGACTCCATCCTGAATACCTCACTGACAATTTCAATCTGAATGTCACAGGCTTCAAGTACCAGCCCCATTTCTTTTGTCCTGCAGATGTCCCTCCCAGAGCAGGCTGACCTGGTGCCAGCTTCTGCCTGTGCCCAGCTGCTAGTCAGGGATTCCCTTCACCTTGCTCCCATCTCCTGCATGCTCTTTTCTGGGGTACTTCCTTATTGTGGTGCCCAGCATTCTCCTGTGACTTATTGAGAAAAAGCAAATAAGAGCTAATTTAAAAAAAATTAGTGTCTGAAAAAGTGGTATTCATTGAAAGCAGGAGAGAGGAAGGAGAGAGGAGGGAAGAGGGAGGGGGAGGGGGAGAGAGACCATTCATTCTTGGTGTGTCCTTCTTGGAAGGAAAAGTAAAGCAGACTTGTCACCTCAGGAAAAGTCCTCCCCAAGAGCACTGTGTTACAATCAGGACTGTGGTCAGCTCTGCTGAGACACTTCTGTAAAGGCAGATTTGTTCCAATAGCCGATACATTTGGAACAATTTGAGCATAATGTTTGCTTTTGCTTACGCAAAACTCTTATCTTGGGATAGAATGCAGAAAACTGATCTGTGTCCAGCTAAATGGAGCCACTTAGCAAAACACAAGCAAGCATCACAAAAGGACTCAGCCACATTTGCTCCCCCAGCTAGCCTTATCATTTCAGATGGCCTGCCTTCTGCCATCTCATCATAACTCAGAAGCTGCAACCCGTTGGAGCCCCACTGCCATCAACGAAGGGACGTTATATTTCATCAGTAAAAGCCATGCTACGGCAGCATGTCTGTACTTTGCAGAACATGGAATACATGTAAAAATGTTTTCTCATTCGCACTGCATCCCATGTGTTCATTTAGATGTCACTGAGGAAATTCTTAAGTGTTATGCCCCTATTCCATTTTTCTCATATGCCCTGTGACTTCTAATTGTATGGTCTTAAGACAGCACAGTAATGCCTGGGAACTCATATGCCACACTGTAGCAGAACAGGCTGTAAGCAAATTCACCCTACTATGGCACATCTGTGAGAAAGGCCCACAATCACACCTCTTCTTTATTCTGCCTTCAGAAGCCAATGCCAATTATACCCAATAAAATTATCTCATTAAAGGAGCAAATTATAACTAATAAAAATCTCAAAACTAATCAACATTGAGATACCATGTAGTAGACTATCTAAACTGATAGAATCTGATATCCAACTTCAAGGATAATAATGAGAAGACAAGCATGAATTTTAAGCTGCCTTATTGTGAAAATGATAACATTTAGTCATATTCTCCTTTTCTTTTTTTTCCCTTTCTGTTTTTCCCCCTCTCCCCCGCCCCCTTCCCTCTTGTCTCAGTATGTTGCTAAGTTGTCAAAGCTGCCCTGGAACTTGCGATCCTCCTATCTCAGCCTCTCACATAGCACCAAAACACTCAGATTTTGATCATGATCTTACATGCTCTCAGGATTAGCTGTTAATGGCAAACCATCAAACTTCAGGCTGAAAATGACAGAAAAATTGCCCAGTGGTCTTCCCCGATTTTGAATTCTAAGGAATGAATATAACTTCTTTGTGAATATCACAATTGTAGAATGAACTTAATTTGGAAATTATACAGCTCAGCAGTTCACAAAATACAGCATATATCTCTTTTCACATGGCTCATAAGCTAAGCTGGTATCGTAGGCAGAATAATGCTACCAAAGTCATACTCATTTATACCTCATCTATATCCAAGTCTTTTCAATATGTTGGATTACATGTAAACGGGGATATACAATTGCAGACAGATTTAAGGATGCTAATTAGCCACCCTTAAGATAGAGAATTATAATGGATTATTTAAATTGGCCTGATGAAATCACCAAGCTCCTTAGAAGTGGAAGAGGGAGACAAAAGAGGTCAGACAAAGAGGTACAATGACTGAAGCAGGGACACAGAGATGCTTAGTTGCTGGCCTGGTATCTGGAGGATGGGCCAAGGGCCAAGGAATGTGGGCTGCCTCTAAGACTTGGAAAGCCAAAGGGATGGACTCTTCCCCTACAGCCTCCAAGGGGAATGTAGCCCTCTTGACCCAGGAGGGACTTCTAACTTACACAGCGATAAGTTACAGGAACAACAGACATTGCAAGTGGCCAGCACTGGCTGAAATACTTATGATTTGCCCTTTCATGGAAAATTTCCCAATTGCAGGTCTCAAGATTATTTATCTCACAAGATCTGATTGTGTATTTCCTCACTTAAGCACCATAATGTTTGTACGACTAGCAATCCATGAAAAGAGACAGAGGACACTGTGGTAACATCCGTCCCACAGATAGTCATTCTTCTACCCATAAAGATGCCCTCTTGATCTGCAGTCCAGAGCTTTAACAGATTGTGAGCAGAGGGCAGCACCTATTTGCTGTCTAGCCAGGTGGTCTGTCTTGGTCTGTTTCTAGATGGCCCATCAAATCCTCATATGGTCATAGATCGGGCTTTTTCAGAGGTGGCTGGATCGAGGATGGGTGACACTGGAATTGATTCACTCTGCAATGGTAGGCTCAAGGGCACTAGGATCAAGGATGTGTGAGTGCCACCTGCCCTAAGTAGTCGATAAGATACAAGGGACAGCAGGAACAGTGATCGTCCCTTACTCCTTTGTTACATTCTGCCCATCACCAACTGTTTGTCCTCTGCCATGCCACCCTGACTTGGAGCCAGCGGATTACAGACTGCAACCGCTACAAACTCTGAGCTAAATAAACCTTTCCTCCTTCAACTTTGGGTGTTGGGTATTTTGTCTCAGCAGTGAAAAAAGTAACCAAGACAGGTTCTTTTTTTTTTTTTTTTGCAGAACCAGGGATTGAACTCAGGCCCTTGCGCTTGCCAGGGAAGCGCTTATTCCACTGAGCCATCTCCCCGGCCCCGAGACAGGTTCTTTTTGGACCCCCAAAATGCATGCGACCAACAGTGAATGGGCATGGTAATTACAAGATGGCCACAGAGTCTCGAACACTCCACCAAAAAGCAGGGAATCTGCTGTGTGCCCTCCAATCAGATGGGGCTCTGTGAACACCAACTGCATGTGACAGCAGTGGTGATACTTTGAACTTTGAAGTCCTTGCCTCTGCAGCCCGTCAGCTTCCCCTTCTTGCCTTTTAAATCACTCCCGCTTAGCAGACAGTTTCCATACCAGAAGGGGGTCCAAGCAGCCCTGTGACAAGATCTGTAGCAAGAGGAACTCAGTTTTCCACCTACGTTTCCAGGCAACAACTAACGGCCACCACCTTGCCATGCAAAAGGGCCATCTTCAAAATAGATCCTCCAGCCTCAGCAGCCACCCCAGCTGCCATATACCAGACAAGCCTTTCTTGCTGAGCCTGCCCAAACTGTGAAGATTTGAGCCAAATACATTATTATTGCTTTAAGCTGGAAAATTCTGGGATGATTTCATACATGGCAGTAGGTCACCAGCACCTTGGGTCCCACAGCACAGGTAAGGACACCACCACCGGGAATGGCCCAGGGTACAATGTTACAAAGTAGACCTCTAGATACCACCATGAATGCGTCCTAGGAAGTCATCCAGCGATTTCCGTGAAGCTGCAGCAGACTTCTTCCTGTATATCTGGAGTGATTTAGAGACGAGAAGGTAAAAATCAGGAGGCTCTACTTCTGATTAAATATTATTCACAAGCATAATGGCAACATTGATGACCAGGAGCAAGCCAGATTACTGCTCCTGGCTCAGCAAGGGATTCTGGAAGTGGCCCTTTACATAAACAGAACCAACCTTCCCCTGCTTTGGGCCCTTCTGTTCCCCATCCCTAGGATCACAGGCTAAAAATCAGATTGCTGGCATAGTACCTGGTACAGAGAGGACTGGGTAAAAGTCAACCTCTGCACCTGCGTAGTCTCTGGAAGTAAGTCAGCACCTTAACCTTTTATTTAAAAAAATTAATATTTAATTTATTTATTTGGTACAGGGTCTCCCTACAAAAGCACTTAGACTATCGATCTATCTCCCCAGCACCCCCACCTTAACCTTTTATGCTGTATCTGTTAAAAGCAAAAAATGTAGCAATTCTGACTTTATGCTTTTGGAGACCCTATGATTTTTATTATCAAGGTGTAGATGTAAGATACTCAAAATAAATAAAAATGACTAGCTTTATATTTAAACGTCTAAACAATAGGATGTCTGAATGAGTTTCACCCAACTTCCATCCAGTATTTTGTGCATGAATCCAACACTGACTTAGCAGTCAACTGATCTACATTCATCAGATCTTTAGCAGAGGACCGTGCTGCTCTGAGATGACCCGGAAGGGAAAAATTTGCTTGGGAAATTTACTTCATCCAGCTATTTCTCCTTTACTTATGTGGCAACACCTTGTGAGCAACAGCTATTGCTGGCAGAGCTACGGAAACTCCAACAGGATTGGCAGAAAGAACTGCAGCAGTCCAATGTGGCTCTGTGCTCCTCCAGAGCCCCTGGCTGCCCCTGGGCTGTGCATGGAACTCCTGCAAAGCGGAAGGATTCCACCCAGTGCTCAGCAGTAATACCACCTGCTGCTCCCTCACAACTTCTCTTCTCTCAGAGTTGCTGTGCAACTGGAAGAAGTCACGTGCGCGGAATGCGCTTTCCCTGAAAGCTGACTGCCTGAGAAAATGCACCTTTGCCACCAATATTCACACAACTCTCCACTAAGAAAGTTCTGCTTCACCCAAACTCATCAAGATTTCCGCTTACTCTCTTCTAAAAATATTAGTTTTATATTTCACATTTCCATCTCCTGTACATGTCAAGTTATTTTTTGTAAATAATGAGAAATA